GGGTATTTATTGCACATAAAATTCATATTCAGTTCATGGTATGATCTATTGTATGCCTTGGACAGAAGTAGCACTTTTGAATGTACCAGAGAATCAATGGGATTCAGTTACCTGTTAGGAAAGTAATGCATGATGGATTAGGCATTAACCTATCATCACCATACACATGGTACTAGTATATATGATCTGTTCTCCAGAAATCTTGTGTATTTTTGTAGTTTACTATTCAACCAGAAGGACAACAGAATAGAGTAAGGTCTACCTTTTCCTTCTAACACATTCCAAAAGCTTCTCTTTCAGCTGACACTAGAAAATATAAAATATCTGTTACAGATGTCACCAAACTTCATAAAAACATTAAAAGTAACACCTGGTGTATCACTTTAGTAATTTCTGTCAGTGCAAAATGAAAGGAAAAAGGTAAATACATTTATATAGCTATCTTAGTACCTCCAATGACTGCATGTCATAGAGAAGCTAATTTGAATGTGCAAGGAAGGGAGAACCTAGGTAGTTTCTCACTTTTCCTTCAAAAATGTTCTCAGAACCAAAACTTTACAAGTAACCATTAACTGTATAAAATAGCTGACCAACCCATTCAACCAGCTACATGAATTTACAGCCAGCAGGGTGACTACTGGCATGTGAACAAGGCTCTCCTTACCCACCCCTTTTCTCCCAAATTCTCCACAATTAAGCACCACAGGAAATTCAGACTCCCCTGCCAAGCTCAGATGAGAAATTATTTTCTCTCTCCACTTTACCACCTGACTGCTTATCCTGGTGCCATATTCCATCTCCGCCTCACATTTACACCACCAAGATTCCAGAATATCCTCGGTGAAGACATTTCTCAAAGCTACATCCTAACTTGAAAGCGATGTTCCCTAGAAATGTGGGACTTACTGATTCACTTAGATCCACTTGAGATGGGGCTCTGAGCAACCTGGTCTGGTGCAAGGTGTCCCTGTCCAAGGCAGGGGAGTCGGAACTAGATGGTCTTTAAGGTCCCTTCCAACCCAAACCATTCTGTGAGTCAATGATCTCCATTATTCCTTCATCCAAAGGCAAGATTTGAGAATTATACCAGATCTATTGTATCTACTCAACCGTGAGGCCATTTCATTTGTCTTTGCAGAAAAGCAATGAAAGAGCTCAAACGCTATAGCCACAAACATAGTATTAAAACACGCAGTCATCATTATCTACTGCATTATTATTAGTTCCACCCGAGCATTTCTTTATTGATGCCTGATTACTGACTGTTAGGGAATTATGTTTTTTCAGCAATACCATTTAGTGGATGCTTCTCACTGTGCAGCACAGTGCTCCTGAGGAGAAGTAAAAATTTTTTTCCCAGAAAAGCCCAGGCCCTTTACCTTGCTCTACACAGAAAATACTTGCAATTTTCATGCATCAAACCATCTTCTATGCTTAAAACCTAAGAGAAGTCTTGCAGTTATGTAAGCAGGAATGACCAGATGCGACTGAAATGCTGCGAGAATTCTGCTGTATCTTCTCCTCATCACACGCTACATCCTCGATGCAGGAATCTGACCAGAGCAGGGGAACCTTTATGCACACACGGATGGAGTCCCAAGGCTTTGATCGACCACAAGGAAATACAGACATTTATCAGGCTGGAGAAACAAGACCTCGCTCGGGAAACATCCTGATACCAGTGGAACAAAAAGCAGGCTCAGTGCAAAAGTGAGAGGTGAAAGGGCCACAAACAATAGGGCACTGAAAAATAATCCCTTCATGCCATTCCTTTGCTATTTTATTGCTGCAATGTTTTGGACACAAACTCACATATATATGTATATATATATACATGTGAAGAAACATGTACATACGTATATTCATTTCACCATCCAAATATCAGAAAGCCACCCCCCCATCAATCATTTCTGCTTCCAGCCTAAACCCAAGTGGGGTTGTTTTTGCTCTAATACCCAGTCTATTGCATGCAGGCAGTAATTAAAATGCAGTAGTCTTCCCTGCAAAACCACCACTGGCTTCAGAAAAGGCACGAAGCCCTACAGACAGTAAAGCACAATTTTTTTTATTCTTACTAGCCATTTATTGGATTCATATTGAACTAAAAAGAAATATATTTCACATTTGTTTTCCGTTTTCTAAACTACTTTAAATATATACCCTTTAAGTACAATGACCTAGTTTCTTCTGACATTTTCAAATAATATTTGATAAATTAGTAAGTTTTACTGTAATTTTAATATCTGGATTTTTCCAAGCATGTATGAGGGTGGATAGTCCAGTAACCTTCACAACAACTAGCCATATAGTCTCCAGGAATATTCGGAGTATTTATATTCACATACTGAAAAAAACTGTCAGATTTTCTGATGGCTGCATCCTAGACAAAAATCCTGATATGTTTTAATGTATGAGGTATAGATGCTTACTAAAGCAACCAAAAATTGCACATACTTTAAGTACTGAGCCCTGAGAAGCCCTGAAAAACAGTGGTTTAATTCAATGATTACATCCAACAGTCAAATAATACCACACTGTGAAACTGAGGAGTTTATTAAGGTTGATATGCTGCATTTCCCGAGTGAAATTCCCACAGCAAACAAGCAAATAACAGCTTCAGCAATAAATTTACAAAGATTCTACTAACACACAAAACATTTTAGTAAAGAACCAATTTATTCTTGCAGCTGAAGCCACACATTCCATGTGTACGGATTTTTAGTAAGCATATATATGTCTGCTCTAAGTCACCAGCAAGGACTCTTTGCAAAATCTATTACAAACTTCACTGCCACCCTACAGTGTTTACAGTTACCTTCCTTGGATATATGAAAAGGCTAAAAGCAAACGTATCTTCCTTTTTTTTTTTTTTAAACGGACCTCTTTAGCTTACTCAGTGTGGACAGCACTAGCTCCTAAATTTAACAATCAGAATAAATCCACTTTAAAGCAAATGCCAACAAGAAACTATTCACACACACGAAATACATGGGCAATGACTGATACCAGCCTCTTGCTTGCTTAATGTCTGTTAGCAAGAAGCCCATTTTCTCTGAAATGTGTTTAAATATGGTGTTTACCATCTCCCTACCCTTAATAGTGTTTACTCCCCGTTTCAGCCGACATATTAAAAAAAAAAAAAAAGCCAAAACCAAAAAGCAAGTATAAATATGTTCAAGAAGTATGGCAAATTCCCTTCTCCACCCCCAGAGCGGTAAAGCCACAGCAGATGAGCTGTAACTATGGCCTTGGGAATACAAGTTCCCCAGGCTCTTTTACCACACAAATATCAATCCAAGTTACAAGAGCCCTACCCCCCTATAGTTAATGAAGATTGAGCCAACGAGCCCGCACGACTTCACAGGAATGTTTCCTTCCCGTTTTCCTAACAAGGCTCTCCTCCCATACCGGTCCAGGATGGACTGCAGAAGGGTGTAAGTGGAAGAATCATCACACCACTGTTTAGTGGAGGAATAAATCAAACATGGCTTCCCCCTCCATACATTTCCAGAGTTACATTCACTCCTGCTGCCGTACAATCCCAGTCCTACCCGGCGGGAAGGGGCAGGAGCAGCCTCCACCTCCCCACACTCTCACCGCCACGGGGGGGACATTTGCAGCCTCCACACCCCTTAAGGAGGCGGTTTAAACCCTGGGGAGGCTTTTTTTTTTTTTTTATCCCTTCCCATTGGTCGTGTCCCCCCCCCTCCGGTTTTCTTTCTGACTTGCACTGATTGATCCCCCATTCCCCGGGGGAGGGAGGTGGGACGGGTGGGCACCTCTCCCTTACCCCTTTATGCTGCCCCCGACCTCCCGCAGCGCCGAGGAGGAGGAGGAGGCGGGCAGGGGGGGAAAAGGATGAAGCTGCAACAGCCGGGACTCCTGCTCGGCATCGCTCCTTTCCGCTCCTCCGCCACCCAGGAGTCAGGGCCCAGCCAGCGGCACAAATCCTGCGGCAGCCTCGGGGGGGGGGGCGAGGGGCGATCGGGGGGACCGCGGCCCGCAGCGAGGGCCAGGTAACGGGGGGAGGATGGGGTGCGAACAAAAAAACCCTCCTCCGAGGGCACGGGGAAGACGGGAGCCGTGGCCTGCGCGGGCGATGCCGACGGTAAGTTTGAGGGGATGCGCAGCCCCGGAGAGGGGAGTCCCGGACACGGGGCGGCCTGGGGGGGGCCCGCGGATGCCCCGCCCAGGGGACCCAGTCCTCACGCCGCCTCCGCAGTCGCTTCGCGGGGCGATACGGGCCCGCGCGCAGCCCGGGGAGGGCGCTCCCGTGCCCGCGGCGAGGCCGGCGGGGCCAAGGCGGCAGCATCCCGCGGGCGGGCGAGCCTCCCCGCCGCGCTCTCCGCCTCCGCCCGGGGCCTGCGGGAACGTGCCCCGGGTGCCTCTCCCTTCCCGCGGGGAGGGGGGGGGGTGTGCGGGGAGAAAGCCAGCCGCGGCTCTCCTACCGGCCTACGACACTGTGCCCTATCGCATCCTTCCCGCGGGGGGCCGGGCGAGGCGGCGGCGGTGTCTGCGGTGCCGGGGAGCGGGGGAGCCGAGGCGACACAGCGGAGCAAGCAGCGCGGCGGCGGCTCCGGCGGGGTCCTGCGCGCGGCCCCGCCCCCTCCCCGGCTCAGAACCAGCGCGAAAACTCGCGCCGCTGATTGGCCGCCGCCGTCCGCGCGGCCTCCCGGAGCGGCCGGTTTCAAAATCCCCCCGCCGCGAGCGCCCGCACGGCGCCGCCCGCGGAGAGCGGCGCCCGCCCCGCGCCGGAGCGGGCCGGAGCGGAGCGGGGCCGGGAGCGGGGCGGCCCCAGGACAGACAGGAGAGGGGCAGCCCACGGGGCTGGGGGGGAGAGCCTGGCTCGCCGCCCCCAGGTGGGGCGAGAGCGCGCCCGAGGGCCCGCCCACCGCCGGGGTGGAAAACGCTTGTATCTTTTTTTTTTTTTTTTTTTTTTTTTTTTAAATATCTTTATGTCGCTGTTGTTGTTGTTTATCTCCCGGTGGGATGCCGGGCCCGGGTAGAAATGCCCTCCTCGCCGCTGGCCTCAGCCACCGTGCACGTGCGCTCTCTGGAAAACCCTGATTTAAGCCAAATGTTTTGACTTTCCGAACAACTGCACGCAATTTGGGGGCTGTCCGGTGGTTGTAAGAGCCCAAGTGCGCCTGGTTGCAGATTACCCGGGCTGTCTCTTCTGGAAGTATGGCCCGGGTTATTTTATTTTCTTTTTTAAGCTTGCATCAAAATAAGTACACGTGCTTGCAATTTGCCAATGGAAAGCACAGCTTTTTTATTTATTTCATTTATTTTTTTTTGTCAAATCATTAAATAGCTGTCATGTTATCATAGGAACAGATATTCCTGTGAAATGTAAAGCAGGTAATGGTCAACTTTTTCAGCTTTCGATGGTTTAATGAAGAGTTTATGGAGCACTGGGTACCTGTGTTTTCTGTACAAGGCAGAGGACAGAGTTCTTCGGTGCTATGGATACTGTAGTAACCTGGTAGCTAAGGGCCTGTAGCAACTCCTGGGAAGGTAAACAGATGATAATTGAGGAGGGGAACACACCGGCATCATACTTCATGGGTAATGGGGAAATTAGACCATCTGTTACAAAAAGGCTCAGACAATTTTTTTCTTTTTTAGACCTTAATTTACTTTCATATGTTAGAGTTTGTTGATGTGTATTTAATGGTGGGTGCACCTTTCTCAGTTAACAGTTGAGCAGTGTGAATTTAGTGCTAATTACTTAGTAATGGAAATCTTAATCGTCGGCTGATTAAAACTTTAATCTCAAAGTTGGCTGAAGGAAATCTGTCTGTACTGATAAGGTACCTTGTTTTAGAGCCTTTCTGTTAAAAAAAAAAAAGCTATCTTTAAGGTGTAAGACAAACAAGATTTACACCATTAAAGAGAAAGATAAAGTGCCATTCCGTTTTATAATAGCTAATTTGGACTACGAGTCGTGGCAATTCTATCTATCTTCCTTTCTAAAGTTCAGTTAAACGCATTTACAAAAAAATTAAAGATGCTTTCTAATTAAAAATAGAGACACTAGTATCAATACAAATAAACAGAAGTACAAATATGTGAATCCTGTTGTTTACATAAGGGAATATATAGTCGTGCTTTTCTTCCACAGTTGAACCATAATGCTAACATATTAAAAGCACAATATATGGCGTTTGCAGGAGTGTTTCGTGTTCCCCCCCCAAAAAAAAGCCCAAACTTTCATAAGAAATGAGGTTCGTTTTCAATAATTGGCATAATATAAATGCTTTATCTACATTCTCTTGGGAATAAACTCTGTGTTCAGGCCCAATGATATAAGTTCATTTTTATGTAAGACTTATAAAAGAGAAACAGATTTTTATTTTGTACTTATTACTAATCCATAATGTCCTCCAGATAACTCCAGTTCCTATGTTTGCCTTTTGTGTCAGTCCTTTAAGGTATAAGTGGAAGGATTTTGTTATCATGGCCAAGGTGACAACAAATCTTCCTTAGCCCTTACAACTCCTATAGATCACCGGCCTTGTCTATGCAACTAAGATTTGTAACCATGTAGTTACCTCCCAAAAGACGCACCCTGCAAATTTCCAGGAAAGCTTATGCTGGGAGTTAACACCTTTAACTGGAATACTACCAGCTTATATTTGAAAGAGTTGAAGGAAACATTTTCCAATTGGTTTCTAGTAGTTGCAAATTTGCAGGCTGAACCTCTTGGAGATTTTATTCTCTTTCATTGTATTTTCTTGGGATTTTTGAATTGGCTAATATTTTTTAATGGTTTTGGTTTCAATGACCTATCCAAGAAATATCTAAGATGTATAACTAGAGCAGATAAAAGTATTCATTTATTAATGACTCCTATTTCATCTTATATCTAAAATTTTATTGCTCCTTACTTTCAACTTATATGGATATATTGTGTTAAACAGTATCACAATCAGTGTCTCTCTGTTCAACTCAAAGGATTTAAAATAAATGTAGCAGTCGCATATTGCCCTATAAATATTTAAATATTTTGGAGATTATCAATTAGTTACTAGGCTGAAAGATACTTTGCAATTTAAACACTTTTTCAAGATCACTTATTCAGCAATAACTGTAGTTAGTGCCTCTGGCTTTAGGCATATGTTGGGATATGCTGAAATTCTAAAACTGAAGGAAGAATTTTGTTGCAACCTCAGGGACAGTCAGTGCTGGAAAAGCCAAGGCCCTACATTGCAGTTGCTGTAGTTCCACTGTGTTAGGCAGAGCTCAGGATCAAGTAGTGTGTGTATGGAACTACTCCGTGCAACAGTGCAGAGCTCCCTACTCTGAGAGTTTGGTCAGCCCTGTTAACAAGGGGCTGAGGCACATTTTGGGGTACTTGTGGCCATTAGAAGCAATAGGGACCAGCAGTTCCTGTGCTAAAGCTTTGCCTTTCTCCTGGCAAAGGCCAATAGCAATGATGGTGCAGTTCTTGAGCACATTTAATCTCATTGAAGATCTTTGTGGCAGGAGCTTTGTGTTTACATTTCTCTCCTATATGGATGCTAAGGATCGATTGCTTTCTGAACTCCTTTCTTGTATCCCTTTACCTTTTTGTTTCAGAATTTTGTGTAATAATCTGTAAAATATTTTCCTGAATGCAGATTATCTTGGTGGCAATGTTAAGATAACTCGAAGTAGAGTTAAAATGAATTTATGTGAGTGCAGTACATGTGTTAATCAAATATTTCCAAATTAGTTAGTACCACCAGCACAGCATGTCCACAGTGTTTATTGTACTACAGGTGTTTAATGGGATAAGGACTGTACTAGGCCATATAGAATCTACAAATGTAGTTTTTTCTTGTTTCACAAACTTTTCCACCTATTGGGGTGAACGCTGAAGACATTGTAGTTCTACTTCAAACCAATACACTGGAAAAGTTGCTGCTGCCCATTGTCCTGTTTTGTTGCAGCATAGGATTGCTTTTGTTGTAGCATAGGATTGTTTTGTTGATGCATAGGATTGCTCAGTGTTGTCCTTACTGTCACCATTACTCTCCATTTCATGCTGTCAGCTGGCGGCCCATTACCTGAGCGCTGACTTTGGCCAGCAGTCCATGTTTTCCCTTCGGATTAACAGAGAGTAGTCGTTGTTTTCAACCTGTCTGAACCTATCCTTATCTCTGTTAGGTATAGCTAGGACAGAGCCACTGATCCTTCAGCGTGTCAGTCTGTGTGTCCTCACCACTGTTAAGAAAAATCTTTATCAGCATGTATGCATTTATGTCCTTGGCTGTGCACCATATTGCATGCCTTTTAATATGGAGACAGCAAGCTGCTGCTGCAGAATTAAGAAAGAATGAAGCGTAAACTTAAATCAGCGTTTCAAAATATTTTATATCAAGTGTGGCATATTCGTCCTCAAATTATAGTAGTAAACGTGTTCTTGAGAACTTACACATCTGCTAATTAATTTGAATGAAAATTCATTGAAAATGGTTATTCAAAAAATTTGGCATTGTGCATTAGAATCACTTTTACTTTTAAATTAACTTGAAAATGAGAAGGTACGGGCTTTTCAGACTTTTTGTATGTTTTGTGTAATCTCATATAAAAATGGAGCAATGGTATTTTTTGATTGTAAGTTGATTCTGTGGGAAAAAGAAAATAATCTACTTAGAGAATTTCAAACAGAATTAGTCCCTCTCCTAATGAGAGGCCTCTTACGGGCAGCTACAGCTTATAGCTTAAATACTGATCGAGTAAGATATGATATCCTGATGAAAATACACAGTTAAATGTGAATCTTCCTCAGACTATGAGTTATACACCAGTCTGTTTACCAGATATGTTTTCAGATAGGAAAAGAATGGAGTAAATGTCACTCTTCTTGCAAATATCTGTGTGTTTGCCCCATTTGGACTGAGCAGGAGGAAGGGAAGTGTAATTGAGGAAGCAAAAGGAAGAGGAAAGTTGAAGACATGAGGGAGTGGGATACATCTTCAGGGCAAGGCAGAGGCCAGGAGAAAGGAAAACTGAGGAGCATGTCCCTGCTGTTTTCCAGTGTTTGGATGATAAAAACCAGCTGTATATCAGTTCTAGGCAGCTAACGTGCTTCAGCCTGGTGTAAGTAACTTCAGTGCGCTAATAAATTTAGCTATAGAAGTTATATGTCTCTAATTATCTTCAACATCACGATGACTTAATTTAAACATTGCTGACATTCAGAATAAAATAAATCTAATCTCTGCAGAAACACACAGCTTGAGCATTCAAAACACATTAACTCTTCTATCTCTTGTTAGAATAGTATGTTACTGTTTAAAAGATAAATTTAATATCATTAAGAAGTATATATACCAAAATACTTTAATAATCAAAGCTTAACTCTGTAACACTTAGCTTTTGAGAAGCCATAACGTAGGTTTGAATGTTAAATTGTTCTGCATTTCAAATGGCTGACTTATGTTTAACCTTCATGTAATTATTGGTCAGCAATAATCATAATTTGGTAAGTTATATAGCAATGAAAGTCTTGAAGAGTGTTTTTTCTTCATTTTGGCAGAGAAGTGACTATTGATATTTCCACTCTTTGCCAGGGCCAAAGAATAAAGTTTGTTAAGGGTTGAATAGGCCAGATAGATAATGCAACTACTGTTTCCAGCAGATGCTAATGCAGTGTTTTATTTTGCACATATATTAATCTTTGCTGCCTCAGTACAGAATGGTGAGGGTAACTATGTCAGTCCTAAAGGTTAATTTCATTCTTTTTTAAGGCATGCCATTATTCTGTTAACCATAATTGCTCTTTTTTGAATGATTAATTTGATCATATGAACTGTTTCTAATTATATTGGTGGCTGGCAATTTCCTGTACTGAGAAATTGTAGCTGTGATCATATCCCATTTACTCAGTATATATGCCTTGAGAAAAATGCTCACTGACAGGCGTTTTCAGAAACATCAACTAATTTTGAGAACTGTTTGGAGACTTGATATAAGATGCCTAGCACTCGTTTTACATTGGTGTTGAGTACGTGCAAATGTAGTTGACAAATGAGGGCTGAAACAACTGGATTTGACGCATAAGATGAGCAGGCTTGTAAATGCAGGCTGAACTGCTAAATTTTCACCTGTGCTGTTTCTGCAGTGAAAACTGAAAGGAGTAGGATGTGTTTCTTGCACATTTTACAGTTTTCTTACACTCTTCTCAAGCTCGACATGCTCACTCCTGTAAGCTCTATTTGCTCGCTTCAGTTATTGTTAATGAAGCAGAGCGTGCGCTCTGCCAGGCAGTGCAGGGCTGTGTGAGACACTCCTGCCTGGTGAACTAGCCCTGGCAGGGAGCAGAAGGGCTGCTGGGCTGCCTGCAGGACTCACATTGTCAGCAGCTCAACCCTACACACAGCACTGATCCCACCGTGGCAGTTCCGGCTCCAGGGCCAAATCTGCGTCCAGTTTACATACAGCAGGAGAACATCAGGCTGCCTCAGCTGCATTTACAGCAGCTGAACTAAACTGTAATTCAAATGAAGAATGTGCTCAGCAGAGAAGAGGAGTTGGGCCTGGCCAGCGTGTAGAACACAGCCTACATGAAGATTCACCCACCCTGCGTTGCCTCACGCTGAAGCTGGGCATGGTTGTAGTACCACCGTGCTAATAATAGCATCACTGCCGTGGGCACGAGCCACCCTGTGTTGAACACTCCTCCTTTTGCAACTGCTGCAGTGACTGGGCATGTGGTGTTTGCTGAAGGGCTGATGTGATGTGCATTTTCTGTGTCTGAACTGGTTCTTCAAAGCAGGAATAAACTGTTTGCACTGGTCCAAAGGAGGTGATAAGCACTTAAATGGCACTCAGAATTCAGGAGTCTAACTGATTCAAAATCCCCAAATTTTGTCTTGTCCCAGAAGTATTTTATAGAGCCCAGAGGAGGCACTTTTGTTTCTTACTTAAAGTACACCACTGATAGCTTGCAAGCTCACTGGGAGCTGTAATACCAGGATCTCAAAACTGAACATTCCCTCTGGTGATCCAACATGGAGGCCTTCAAAGTGCAACTAAGTGATTTGCCACAGCATTCCATCTTAAGCGCACATTCTACATGTGTTCCTTGCTTCATCTACACTTGTAAAACTGTAATCCCAGTGCCTGAGGGGAGTCTGGTCTAGCCCACTGTGGACCTGCAGGAAGGAATTGCTGCAAGCCTTTTTAAGTGCTCCCTGATTTGCCTGTCCCCAAGGATTTTTACGGGCAGGCAGCCTGTAGGCCTGGTATGGATGTGTCCTTCACAATACATTAAAGAACTTTATCAGACTTCCACTGGCTCGTTAAAATGGGACCTGTGAACCCTGCCACTACACACACACTGCCTCTCCAGCCCTGTATTGCCCTTTCTGATTGCTGCTGCCACCTCTGGGGCTGGGACATACCTCTGTTCATGAATCATCTCAGGCACTACTGCAGTTCTCAGCCTGTGTGAAAGGTAAACCAGCTCCCTTCATGAATGGATCACAGGTTTCTGCTTCAGTGTTTTGGGCCGGAGAGCTTCTGCTGCCCAGCTACAATCCACTGTCTGCATTCATCTTCCTGGGGCCATCCTAAGAGTGTAATAAGTTGTGAGGCATGCTCTCAGAATTTACCACTTTGCTGACTGTATGAACAGCAAATAGAAATCTGGAGGGTGCTTTGGAGATGCTTTTTACAATGCAATATAAGCATATTGACTGGGCCTTTTCAGAAGTCTATGGATATGCTCACACTGGGATAGTTGCTGGGTCTGACTGATTCAGGAAAGAACATAAAGAAGTCATTGATTCAGTGGGAAACATTTACCCAAGAGTCATGTTTGAATAGCTCAGATCTCGGAACAGAATTCCATTTTGGCAATGGCCAGTAATCATTTAAAAATTTACTGTGGCTTCTGAGAATTAATTTCTAGGTTGGTTTAAATAACCAGTTATCATATTCTTTCACTTCATTTTCATGTCGTTGTTGGAGAATTAATTGTATGTTAAGTTTTGAATAATTTTAAAGATTTCATTTATGTCCCAACTATTCTTGCCTTTTAAAAAGGAAGTCTCAAGGGCAGAGACTTAAAAGCTTTACATGTTTTTATGGCACCAGTATGGGAGCCCTCAGCATGAAGGTGTCCTGTTGAAATTGAAATATTGAAATATAAATGTTAAATAATGATGTCTTCTGAAAGAAAGAGCCATAGTTTTTACAAACCTTTTGCACAGTCATGAGTATGTGCCAGGTAGACAAGCACTCTGGAGTTTGAAAGATGAACCCCTTTTGAACTATAAGGATCCCATCTCAGTATGATTCCTGGGGAGAAAATCTTGTCTTGTCCAAGTGTTTTGGATTTATGTAGGCCCTGTGGAGTTCACTGGTGGGTTTATTTGGCAGGGGGGCCTTATTAACCTGCCAGCAAGGGACTGTTTGACCTGCTTAGGTCTGTAGAGCTTGTAAATAAAGATTCTGTCAGGGAAGAGAGATTCTCTTGTGCTTTGGACTATTTATATCTCTTCTAACTGTGGCTGTTAAAGCTTATAAAGAAACAGAAGGTCTGGGATGTGAGACAGAAAGCCCTGAGGGAGTCTTACGTGTTGTATTTGGATTGCTGTGTTAATATCCTAAAATAAACGCCGCATGCCAGAAAGTGGGGAATACTTTTATTGTGATTATTATTAACTCGAAGACATAAATTATTAGTTATTGAATGGAGTATAGCTGAGCTTGGCTGCAGAGGACAATAAAATAACCTCTTAATTTAACACTAGCAGCTACTGGCAATCGATGGGAGACAGACATTTAACCAGCTTCATTTCCCTCTTTTTTCCTTATCTTTTTTTTCGCATTATTCTTACGTTTAATAATTACTAGTATTAACATTTTTTACAGCTCAGGTAACTAACGAATACAATAAGTTTACAACAAATTGTAATCATAATCAACCTGTGATAGACTCATCATCAATGGAATTACTTTAATTGGGCAGAAATATTATATTGAAAGGTATGTTATATTTCAGATTGAAAAAAAATCTCTTCAAGAAGTCTTTTAGCCTGTCTAGTGCAGGTCTGATGCTAGGGTCCTTTCTAACTCTGTGACATGTAATTTTAAATAAGTGTGTCTGAATCAGTGAAAGGACTTTACATTATTTTATTTATACTACTTATAATGTAAGAAAATGTTTTTCTCTTACTCAGACGCCACCAGTTTGGACTAGTTGAGCAGTCTTTTCGAGAAAGGTTTCCTTCTGCTTCAGCTGACCTACAAAGACACCCAAGTGCTACTGCAGATCAAATGACAGGTTCAGCGTCTGCCAGAGTTGAGCTTTTGAGTCTATATTCCTTGTTCATTCACTTGAAAGTCAATTTTGCAATATTTCTGCCTTCTGTCCTGAACAGACTCAATAAATGTTTTTTGACCTTAGTCGGGTTAGACTGTTCTGCTACTTACTCATTCTAGAGATATTTTAAAATATTAAACAGTTTGTAGAGAATCTGTTGAATTTACAATTACAAACATACTGTCTGCAAAAGTATTTCACCCAAGCTGCTGCTGTGGCCCAGGAGAACTTGCTGTTGGGGAAGGACAAGTAGGGTATTACTGCTGATGCACACTGATTGGAGAAGGGCTTCCAAATTCTTCTTCCAAAACTTTGCAAGTGGAAGCCACTCAGGAGAGATGCCAAGAGAGGCAGTGCCCTTCCTTCTTTTGTCTACCTCCTTTCCAATGGGCATCTCTTTCATGAGCTGGAGCCCCTGGCTCCCAGCCCTGCTATGATGTGGGACTGGCAAACTGCTGTGCACCTGTTCTGGGGGGATTAGCCACCCAGTGATAGCCCATGCCCAGAATTTCCTCCACAGATGGTATTACCCTTCAATAAGTGAGTCAGAACCGTTTGACTTAGAGCTTTTTATAGTTGTTGTTGAGGGTGATGATAATCATCCTAAGAAAGTCTAGTTCTTAATCTCTCATACTGAATAGTTATGCCACTGGTTAAAGAAGATACCAACCTGCCCTTCACTCCCATCCCTATCAGCTTTACCAGCACTGGCAAAACACTGCTAAGCTTTTATGATGATCTGTCATTACATTGGGAAGCGAGTGTTGTCTGGTAGATGAGATACCAGACTGAGGCCAGAATTGACTCCGCTAATTAATTCACCATTGGGAAATCTAAGACAATATTACTTCCTCTGCTGTTCTGATTTTCCTAACGATAAATACATTCGTTTGAGAATTCAATAAACAACTCATGCTGAAAATCAAGTATGCCAGGATTGGTTTGCAGAACGGGGCTTTATGTTAAATTTTCTAGTCCAAAGAATCAAATATTGTCTGTATTGTATTCATACATGTTGATATGCACCATATACCAGTATGGTGCAATTGATTACAGAAATAATATTCACCATGTTTTTTCTCTTTTGTCTACTGCTTACAAGCCTTTGTCATTCTAGGAGAACACAGGTTTTGATATAAATACTTTAATTTATTGCTCTTGAAGACTGTGTCCATATAGTTGAAGGAATAAATGTCCTAAATATGATTCCACCCAAGCCTCTCTTTTTTTCTTTTTATCTTTTTCTCTTCTCTATCTCCTCCTTTTCCCCTTTTTTTTTTTCTTTTTTTTTCCCCCTCCTGTTCTACAAATACATAAAAAGAATCAGGCACTTCCTGCTATCCTTAAGCACAAATTTAGTTCCTGGTATATCCACTCTAATGTATTCAGGAAGGAAGGAATAATCTTTCTGAGGCTGTAGTGCTTTTACAGTGGCTGCAGTAGCTGTAACTCAGACTGTAGCTCCATACTGGAGGAATTGTGTAATGTTTGATCTTTGGGAGTAATAAGGAACAGGCCCATTCATAGGTGAGAATAATACACATTGTGCAACACACAGTGAAGAGACAAATGCTCCTGCATAGAGGAGACTACCATCTGCTAGAATTAAACAATTCATACCAGACACAAAATTCACTGAATAACAAATTTTTTTTTCTAAAATAACCCCGTCAGTTTTCTGGCTAGGATAAAGTAAGACTGATTAGGTACACTTGTAAAAGGTGGATTTTATGAAAGAGGATGTTAAGTGCTCTAGAGAAGAAGGATTTGCAGGAGAAGCATGATAAGATAAAGATTTGTCCAAAATAGGACTGGGAAATGGCTAAGTGGGAACTGTGAGCTGAGTGTGTGGGAGGGAAGGAGGCAAGCATTCATTTCACCCAACACTGAGAACAGAAAAAAGACAGGGGTGGAGGGCAGATTTCTGTTTGCTAGTCTGCTTAAAATTAAATGACCTGTTGATTTCAGTCCTGCAAGGTATTAAAACTGTGTTCATTAGGCTTTTAACGTATACTTATCAGTGAGTTTGTTGTGAATAGTTTCTATCTGCCCTTTCTTCTAACTACTCTCTTTACCTCACCAAAAAATCCAGGTGACAACCAGCCTGATTCACCTTTCAATTCAGTAAGATTCTACCTGATTTAGATCTGGCTGCTTTACTTTAAAGATACAAGCTTTTAATTGTAAGCAGCAGCTGTAGGGCTGCTCTAGCGTTCACCTGCGAGCAGTCAGGTCCAACGTACCCTCACACCTTCTCCTGGCTCCCATGGCAGCAGGAGGTAGGACAGAATAGCACAGGGTAGGTTTTACTGTTGGTGCAGCAGGAAAACAGAGCTGCCTGGCAAAGCAGCCTTTTGTGGAGTGTATCAAGCTCTGGCCCTGTTTTGCCATAAATTAGCTGGTTTAATAAACATTTCCTGCAGCCTTTAGTAAACAGACTGTTTCATGCTTGAACTTATTAACATACTCTTATCTTTGCTATAAAATGTATATAATCATGAGAGATTTCTGAGTGACAGAGTGATTCGTGAAAACATCCGCATAATGTTTTTCCACTCGCTTTCAGCCCCGTTCCTGGATTCGCTGGCTGAGACAATGTTTGGAGTAAAGTCACATGATCGATCTGCATTTTCTTGCAGTCTCCCTGAGCTGTTGCACCACTCCTTTTCATGCCAGGTATTCTGTTGATCTATAGATCCAGGCTCCTTCTTTTAAGGGTAATCAATCAAAATTATACAGTGCTTAGGATTTCAGTCAGAGAGATTATGTCAGAATTAGAACATTCTTGAGTGAAGGTCATATAAATCAATCCTTCAGTTATTCCATTTTCAGTTTCATTGTAATGAACAGTAGCCTGCTTGCAGTGAGAAAGCTTATGGTGCTAGAATACTGATAAGACGATACTGCATTCAGAGTACATTTTCCACTATTGGATGAAATCTGCAATGCGATATATGACATATATGCAATGGTCTGTGCTGAAAAGCCTTGAAATTGTCAAATGATAACATTCTGGGGATGATGCTGGTTTGCAAAATCATTGAATCCCCTTTATTGCAGACAGAATTCTAATGAACAAAATAATAACAAAGGGCTTTTAGTGGAATTGTATTAGAAAAACATACCATTCTTTCAAGTTATCATATTAAACAGGTTAATGGTGTATTGTTGTGCATACTTAACACGGGGGTGTGGTTTTTACATGGGCAGTAATGCCTAACAATTAACATCACTTTTCCTACTTAAAATACTTGACAAGTGATGTAGCTAAGTAGCCATTTTAATTGCCTGTGAAATTGGAACACTGAGAAGTGAGGAACTTGGCATTGGGATCAGGCTGATGGGATTTGGTGTTTGCTGCCAGTTACTCAGGTGGTTGTCTAAACTCCTTGATCATTCATATATACAACCTATATGTACTTCCTAATGTATATATTGAACCTGTGCTCACAGGACACTATAAAGCAAGTACTACTCTTTGAACACACTCCTACTCACCCTGGGGAAATTGCTAAAGCATGCATACTTCTATTTATTTACTATACACGGCCCTCCACTGACGTGCCAATATTCCAAGGCCTGTATGTTCCAGTCTATTTACTCACTTCCCTTTCACTAGTTCTGTGCTTCCCACCAGCATCCCCCTGGGTTAAGCATATTTGGTTACCACTCAGTTCTGATTTGCATGTGGCTTCCTCCAGTTCCTGTGCACCCTTGCCCTGCATAGAAGCGCAGCTGGAGGCTGCAGGGAGGAGGAGGAGGAGCTCTCCAGGGTTCTGCTCAACCTGAGGTGCAAGGATCTGGGGAGAAATTCCTCAAATCTGCCCTTCAATCCAGCCAGCTTGAATCCCCTTGCAGAAATGACATGCCCAATAGCTCTAGAGGCCAAGTGATGCATCAAACTGGTAAAGTCTCTCCATGTCAAGGTTAAAAATGGAAACGGGAATTCTGGCAACTCCCTGTCTACCTGTCTGCATCGTGATGTTCTGAGTAGTGTCCTGAGTGAACAGCTTGCAGTGGTGTTTCTGAAAGGATGGTAGACCAATGGAGGTGGAGACAATGGTTGTGTAGGAGGAGAGGGTGGAGTTTCAGCAACAGTGAAGTTGTGAGCTCACGAGAACTGGGCCTGCAGCTGATAGTCACTTTCGGAGGGTCCATTCAGGAGCCATCTTACCATGCTGGGAATTGCAGGTAGTCTTGAAGCAATGTGTAACATAGTTTTTAAACAAAATTTGTAATGGGAATTTTTAAGGAGGTGACTTTAACGTTATCTTTCTGGTTTTACTGGAAATCTAACAGCATCGCCTTTCTATCAGCAGCTTCAGTGGGGACATTTGAAAGGATCAGTGCTACCTGACGGATTGACCTTGACTTGGGCTATGCAATCGGGGAAAACATTTGCAGAGTTTTTACACCAAGCCTGCTGCTTGTGAGTGTAAGAACTGAGGGATGACGAGCTTAAGACAAAGCACGAGGACCACAAAAGCCAGTGATGATAATCAAGCAAAAAACAGAGGAGCCAGAAGGAATGGGGGAGAGATAAAGGGGCACAATAAGAAGTGCACCAGGATATTGTGCAGCTCTTCTGGAAACAATCACAGATGTTAAGCAGCCCATTAGGGAGGAACAAATCTCCATAATACCAGACCTGGCCAACTACAGCACGAATGCAAGTGTGGGTACGTGAGCGTGGGCCGTGTGTGCCTCTGCAGTGCGGAGGCTTGAAGGCAGGTTTGCCACCACCACACACGAGCTGGGACACAGCAATGTACAAGTAACCTTGGTGACAGAGGCAGGGCTGAAACAGCAGATTCATAGCTCCCAGCTCTGTGCTCAGACCACTAGACTACCTTCCGTGTGTGTTTATCAGCAGCGATGAAATACAGCATTGCTGCTGCAGGCAGTGCAGGCAAATGGCAGCAACGCTCTGTGCTCACCCTGTTTCTCCTACTCCTTCCCCAAGCACTGCTTTCTGACTATGACCACAGACTGGATAAAGGGACTCACAGGCCTTTGGTTTAGCCCAGTGCAGTCGT